GTGCCACTAGGCCCAGTCTAAATCACTGGCTCAGTGTGCCCCGGGGGCGGGACCAGCATAGCAGGCCAGGGGATCAAAACCCTGGCCCCTGCACCTGCTTGCAGGCGCTTTAATCTGCTAAGCTAGCTGGCTCTTCAGCCTAAAAAAATTTTTTTATTTTAAGATCTTTTATTTATTTATTTATTTATTTAATTTCATTTATTTTGTGTGTGTGGCCAGCTTAGCCCACCAGGGGGCGGGGCTGGCTGGCATGTGGTGCTGGGGATTGAACTGTGGTCCCTGCGCTTTGCTTAGCTTGTTCTAAGTAGGTGCTTTAGACCACTGAGCCATCTCACCAGCCCCTACAAATTTTTTTTAAATAAACTTTTCAACTTAAGATAGTTTTACAGAAAAGTTGTAAAGATGTTTTCTTATACCACATGCCCAGTGTCCCCTATTATCTTACACTAGTATGGTATACTTGTCACCACTGTTTGAGACAGTATCTCATTATGTATGTCAGACTAGCCCAGAACTCGATAAATTGCCCAGGCTGGCCTTTGAACCTGTGGCAATCCTCCTGCCTCAGCATCCTGTATGCTGGGGTTATAGGTGTGCACCATCATAGTTTGCCACAACTGCTGACTTAGTATGGATACTCTGGTGTTACTAAAGTGCATACTTTTATCAGATTTCCTTAGCTTTTACCTAATGTGTCTTTTCTGTTCCCTGCAGGATTCCATCTAGGGTGCCATATTACGTGTAGTCATCATATCTCCTCAGACATCTCTTGGTGAAGGCAGTTTTTGCTTTCTTGCTTTCTGTGTTTTTGACGATCTTGGCAAGTTTGAAAGGTATTATCAGCTATTCTATAGCTACCCTTTCACTTAGGTTTATCTGATGTTCTTCTGATGATTAGACTGGAGCTACAGATTTTGGGGAAGAAGCCCACAGAGGTAATGTGCCACTCATCACATACCAAGAGCGCTGTTATCAGTCTACTAGTATGACTCTGGTGTTAATCTGCTCACCTAGCTGAGGGAGTGCTTATCACTTCCCCAGTGTATTGTATTGGTTTTTTTGTTGTTTGTTTCATCATTTCGGAGACAGGGGCTCATCGTGTAGTTTAGGCTAGCTTTGAATTTACTATGAATCCCTGGCTGGCCTTGAACTCGTAGCAATCCTCTTGCCTCAGCCTCTCAACTGCTGGGATTATAGGCCTGGGTCACCCCGCCTTCTTTTTTTCATCTGTATTCTTTGGAAGGAATTCAGTAAGTACCCTTAATGCTTAAGGTGTAAGGAGTTAAAATTTACCTCCTTCCTCTTCCTCTTCTTCTTCTTTTTTTGGCAGAACCAGGGGTTGAACTCAGGCCCTTGCGCTTGCCAGGCAAGTGCTTATTCTACTGAGCCATCTCCCCAAAGTTTACCTTCTTGAGGGTGAAATATTTACATAGATTATTTACAGTTCTTCTGCATGACAGAACTTCTCCATTTTCTGCCATGTACTCAATCACTGTTATCAGTTTAGAGTTAGTATATGGCATTTATTTTAGACTTTGTGTTAAAATCTAGTACTCAAGTTATGCTAGCTTTGGCCATTGGGAGCTCTCTCATTTGGCTATGGGGACTATTTGACAAATCTCCATCCTTTGTGTTTGTTTTAGTATCTCTCTACTTTATGGTATTTATTTATTTTTGAACAGGGCCTAAGTCTTTTTTGAGACTTACATTTTTTTAAATCTAATTAGACAGCTTTACACTGACTGACACAACAATCTGAAAAAAGATAAAACTACTGGAGATCGTTAAGGTTCATTACAAAACTGCTGTTAGTTCATCCACTGAAATATGCTTACTCAGCAGAACCACAGCAATCCATACAGTGACCAAGTGACTCTGACCCACTCCTGGCAAACCAGGACTGGGCTCCCTGAGTGCTGGACTGTCTTATACAGAAGTTAAAGTCTTTTTTAAAATTTTCCTTTCTTTAAATATTCGGTGGAAATAATTTTTTTCTTTAAAAAACCTTCAGGCTTATTAAATAATATTTTGTGGACTAATCTGTGTGGTTATATTTAACAGGAAATATTTTCATGTCTGCTGCTTTGAATACTAAAACATTTTAGGCATTTTTAAAAAAAGTAATTTATATTTAAGTTTACTGTAAATTTGCTAACTACTGGGCATGGTAGCACATGTCTATAATCCCAGTGCTTAGAAGGCTGAAGCAGGAGGATCACTCTGAGTTCAGATCAGCCTAGGCTATATACTGAGTTCGAGAACAGCCTGGACTAGGTAGTGAGACTTTGTCTCAAAACACAAAACAAACAAATAAAACCCCCTAAGATTCAACACTGAAAAGGTCACCTAATTTTAAAACGGCAAAGGACTTCAAATAAACATTTGGTTAAAGAAGATTCGTAAGTGGTCAGTAAGTACATGACCATCACGTATCATCAGTTACTGGAGAAGTGCAAATCCACAATCCACTAGGATGGCTGTCATGAAAAGATGTACGTGTTGGAGAAGGTGGAAAAATTAGGACCTTTGCTGATAAGACTTTCACTGGGCAGCTGCTTTGGAAAAGAGTTTTGTTTTTTTTTTAAACAGTTCTCCTGAAGTTGAACAACTATGACTCAGCAATTCTATTCCTAGGTATGAAAGACCTGAAAATACTCACACAAACACTTATACATGCAAATTTATAGTTGCATCATTCATAAAAGCCAAAAGTGGCAACAACGCAAGTGTCCAGCACCTGAAGAATATATAAACAAAATGTGCTATATCTGTAAAGAATCTTACCCAACCATAAAAAGGAATGAAGTACTCATACCTGCAGGAGAGTACTTCTCATTTTCAAGAGAATGAACCTTGAAAACATGCTAGATGACAGAAGGTAGATACAAAAGGCTTCCTACATGGTTTGGCTTCTATGCAATGTCTATTTATATGAAATGCCTACAAACAGGCAAACCCACTCAGACAGAAAAATTATGTGTGCCAGGTGGTAGGAGGGAGGCCTGGGCAATAACTGCTAATGGATATCAGGTTTTCTTTTGGAGTTAAAAAAAATATGCTTGGAGCCGGGGAGATAGCTCAATAGAATAAACGCTTGCCTGGCAAGCACAAGGGCCTGAGTTCAATTCTTGGTTCCACCAAAAAAAAAAAAAAGAAAGAAACAAAGCAAATGTGCTGAGTAGTGGTTGCACAGTCTTGTAGGTATAATGACCACTGAATGAGATCTATTTATCTCAGCTGCTTTCCAGACAGGGCCTCACTGTGCAGTTCAGGCTGGTCTTGAACTCACTATGTAGCCTGGGGTAGCTTTGAACTCATGGTGAATCTTCTGCCTCAGCCTCCTGAGTGCTGGGATTGCAGTTGTGTGCCTTCATGCCCAGCCACAAACAACATATTTTTAATAGAAGCCTTTTGTTGTTTCATTAAAATGTCACAGATCGGTCTTCACAATCCTGGATCTTGTTTCTACTGCTGGCCAACTCTCAAATCTTAATCAGCCTGCTGAATTGTTCTTTTTGCAATGATATACACGCAGTCCCCAAATCTTCTGATACTACAGGTATATTTGTTTAACTATTTCAGCTTGCTGGCCCAAAGCAGTTGAATTTGAAACAAGTTCAGTGTTGTTTCCTTCAAGCATTAACTTATTTTTTTTGCTAAATGAACAGTGTCTGATCCTATCCAAACCCTGCAGATACAGTTTTTTTTTTTGTTTTTTTTTTTTTTATTTTGTGTGTGTGTGGCCAGCTCAGCCCACCAGGGGGCGGGCCTGGCTGGCATGTGGTGCTGGGGGATTGAACCGGGGTCCCTGTGCTCTGCTTAGCTTAGCTTGTTCTAAGTAGGTGCTTTAGACCACTGAGCCATCTCACCAGCTCTGCAGATACAGTTTTAACCCAAGAAATTATAGATTTCAGCAAGAGACCCAGAGTTGGGGATGTAGCTCCAAGGAAGAGTGCTTCCGTAGCGTGAATGACACCGTGGACTCAGTCCCCAGACTGCATAAGCAAAAGAGGAAAACAAGAGAATCATTCTTCTGAGTATCAGACTGATGGGGAAGTGAGATGCGCCCTTGGAGTGGAGCGCCAGCTAACGCCCCTCCGGTAACGCCCTGAAGTGCCTCTCCAGGGTTCCTGCCCAGCTAGATAGTGTGCATGGGAGCCAATTCTGTCTCTCAGCTTTTACTTAGGGCCTTTTCTTTTACTTTCCTGAGTCCTACACTGGTGTGAATGAAGTCCCTTCAGAGGCTTCCTCCAGGACCCTTTAGAGTGACTTAAGAGTGGTGCCAACATTGTTAGATGCCCTGGTCTGCTGAAAACGTCTCATTCTGTCTCTCAGCAGGCTGAATTGAACACTTCAATGGGGTGAGCTCCAGGTGTGGGAATTTGTCATGGATTCAGTTATGTCTCCCAATAATTAAGTTGAAGTCCTAATTGCCAGTACCTC